GGCTCGCAACCAATTAAACTCAAGAGCGAGCACAAACAAAAAGCTCGCATACGCTCGGCTCACGCGCGAAACCCGCTCGAGCGAGCAGCGCTTTCTAACGGCGACTCCGCGAACTGGAGGATGCATTTCGCAGGCGAAATCCGCCAGCCGAAGGCTTTGAATACACCCGCCCATCCGGAACGGAAGTCAAAGCTCCAAGTTACGACAACCTTCCCCCTTGCCAGATCTCCGCTTTAAATCCTTTCGAAAATGAGGGCAAAATGTTGAAGGGACCTGAGCCGGGAGCCCTTGTCACTCGTCGTACGATCAAATTACGAACTGATTCTTGTCGGACTTGAATGATTGTACTTGTAGACTGTTGCCCACACTGGAAAAAAAAAAAAAAAAAAAAAAAAAAAAAAAAACACATTGGATCTAGAGTCCAGACTCTTAAAAACATCGAAAAGAAAAAATACTCTTGATTCCATAAGATTAAAGCCTAAATCAAGAACCAAGCCTCGGAATTTGAGCGGATTTCCTTTTGATTTAAGCTTAAATCTGATTGAATCAAGAGTCCTTTTTCTTGTCAATGTTTTCAAGAGTCTGGACTCTAGATCCAATACGTTTTTTTTCCAGTGTATGTAACGGACAGTATCACAATAATAAACCACTTTAAGGGGATAAAAAATGTACAAATATGACAACGTGGTTTTAAATATGGGCCATGTCAACAAAGTGGCGGAGACCGTGGAGTGAGTCATCCGGACTCATTCGTATGGAAATTCGTAGCACGCGTCTGTTTACAATTGCCCCGAGAACGGGCTATTGGCTTTTTTTCTTCGATCGTTTTCACTTTAAGTTCCTTGAAGAGCTTCCCTTTCTTCCAGCGTTGACTGATTATCGTGTGTAGTTAAGGCGTTAGTCTTTGAGTTATCTTCGATCTTGAGCTTGGAAAGTTTGCTCAATACCACTTCCTAGTGTACTAATTCGCATTTGTTTTGAAACTTGTAACCCAACTTTTTTTTGATTGCGTTTATGACAAAAGAGCGGGCGCAAAGCTGAGACTTTTTAAGGAGGGAATACAAGGGGTGCAATCTGTTTTTTGTACCTGCTTCTTTAAAAAAGAAAGAAGACAACTGCTTCTTTAAAAAAGAAAGAAGACAACATCCCTGTGATCTCAAAATTGTTTAGGGGACCAATGTGGGCTTTTCTGGGACTTTCAAATTGAGTACCCCAAAAATTTGAAACGTGGATTAGTGCATGTTACCGTCCTCGAGAAGAGGGACTTTAGTCCATTGAACATTAAAATTGGTTCATTTACACTATATCGAGCCCAAAGAAGCATTGTTGCCAGATTGTTCTGAAAAATAAGCACTTTTCCCATTTAATCTGAAACCCATGTAAAACATAAGCATCTAATGGCACACCGTGTAACCTTGTACAGAAGTATTACACCAACATTTCCAGACAGAAAAAAATGTCAAACCAAACAGTGACTGGGGAGTACGTTTGCAATTCAAAGAGCGGCGTGTCGAGGAAAATTAGTCTAAAATTCTAATTTACCATTTTCAGACTACGAGTTTCAAGATTTCAGTCAATTCCAAACCAAAATCATTAAAACACCGATGCGATTTCGCACAGTTCTCCTATAGCGGTTACACCAAGTCGTTCTGTTCGGCGTAATTATTCACGATTGTTTCTAACTCCTCGGAGCTTTTTTCCTGACAGACGAATAAGTAATCCTTCCTTTTTGCAGCTCCGATTAGAGCCCGAGAAACCATAACCCGCAATCATGAAGAGCAGGGTCGCCAGTTGCCGCGCGAAACTTCCAACTCTTAGAACGAGCTGATCCATTTATTCGCGAATCCTCCCAACAAAGCAGCAATTACTTTAAAATACAGTCATTCCACCGGCGAGTTTTGCGAGAGCAGGTGATTTGCTGTGTCTGATGGCTCTCCCGAAGGAGACAGATTGTTCTCCGAAGAGCTCATAAAAAACAGCGTCGTGAATGTTCCGGAATTTTTTTAACAGCTCATTAACGACGCTCACAATGAGCGAGTTAAGTTGAAGGGGGATTTGTGATTTTAGTGAAAGGAACAGTTTTTGAAAGGCCTCTACTGAAATTTCCCGAAGTGTATTTATGTTCGAGGGTCAGCAGAATTACGCTGATTGATGAACGACGTACTCGTGAGATCCTCTTAAAAGTTTTTTTGTAATCTTTGATTAATGTAATTTGTGAATTTTGAGATCCTCCTAAAAGGTAAGCTTTATTAATTTCCAGTTGCAGCTACTAGAACCACAACTCTGCAATTATCTTACGACCACGTAGAAGCTGGTGCAGAATACCTACGACCGAAACTGTCGCAACGACGTTCGTAATATGTCACGACATTTTAGCTTACTCCTACTGTTTCGCCCGTACAAGCACTAAGCAAAAAGTTCAGAATTAATATAGCCACTTTGTCCTGTAGTTCAAAAGGACATCAGAAGCTTTCCGGATAATTATTTCTGTCTGCGAAAGCTCTTTTTCCAAGATCAAAATGCAACATCGACCGTTGTGAACTTGGAGGCTGAGTTTTGCAACTCGCGATGGACCGTAAACCAACAAGATTTGGGTCAAAAATGAGATAATGATATTACTCTTGAAATGCTGGGTGTTGCCCGTCAAAAGTAATAGTTCCTAACATGAATAACTTAATGACATAAATCGCGATCAGAGTATCAAATGCATGTCTTCTTTTACCTTGTTCGCGATTTATTTCGATCAGAAAGTATAGAAATGGACAAAAATCAACAGTTACATTGGTGTTGTATACAATTTTTAGCCCAAATCTTGTTGGTTTACGGTCGACCGAAAGTTACGAAAGCTAACTTTTGGGCTCATACAAACTCAAGCGAAAATTGGGCGAAAGTTGAGCTTTTTTTTACAGCAGGCTTGAGCCATTATTAGCTACTCAACGGTGCAAACCATTAATCAGCGATCGAATTGCAAATGTTAACATCCTTGCCGAAATTTTTAGCGGTGGCCAACAAGCTTTGGGCCCCGATAGGCTCATTTTGATCTTGAAACAGAGCTTAAAGTCAAAAAGCTAGACGATATTTAGTGACAAAATCGTGACACAAGTTTTAGCCACTTGAATCTGCACTGACACGGAAAACGGTTGACTGCCACGTGATGACTTACAGAACAACTTCGCAGACGACCATTTACCGCGTCTCTGCATGTCAAGTTATCGATTTGAGTGGTCAAAACTTGTGTCACGAGTTCGTCTCTAAATGGACCGAGTTCATCAGAAAGGAACCAACCCACATTAAGTTGAAACTGGGGAAAAGAGGTTTGAAGTTTCACTCCTGCATAAGGCTCAATGTAGAAAATAAACTCCAACCCCTCTGTCCGCAAACTAATTTCTGTTTTTCGACCTCCAGTTTTTGGCAGGAGAAAATATAGGCTAGTAGAGGAACTCAAAAACATTGCTAACTTAATTTTATCCAAAACATAGGTTGGCTCCTTTCTGCATGATGAACTCGGTCCAATTATTGTTCGGCTCTCGGACTATCATAGCCTTACTCAATCAGCTCCTCTCGCAAGAAAGACCAGAGACAAGAGACCCTCCACTAGTATCTTGGCCATGGTGGAAGCTTTTACTTTCGGGACTTCAGCATTCTACTGTTGACTTACCTACATGGTTGATGTTCAACAACGTGTTGGCAGTTTCGTTTTGCAAACAAGCCGAAAATGGCCGACGTTTGGGAAAGTTCTTTGGCTCATGACGTCATCCGAAGCTCATCATCAACCATGTAGGTAAGTCAACAGCCGAAACTAGGGTGATGACTGTTGCTCCCTAATAATTGTCCATAAGGAATTGTTGAAACCCCGAAAGTAAAAGCTTCCACCTGTCGCTAGGAGACCAGTGGAGGGTCTCTTGTCTCTGAGAAAGACTAATCCGAACTTTCCTCCACAGATCTGTGAACTGTGGACTTTTATCTTAACGGGGGAATGGGGGGGAGTGGAAGGAGGGGGAGGAAGGGGGAGTACTCGCCGCATAATCCATGCGGCTCAGATTCCCGCGTTCTTCCGCAGACTCGGTGTTATCCGGGCCGGTGACCAGCGAACTGCAACGCCGTCGATTCTGGCGCATTCTTCTGGATATTCTTGGCGTTACTCCGACATCCACGCCTTATTTTTACCGGTGATCTGGCGGCGTTGCGCGCAGCTTTCCTCCTGTCCTCGGAGTGTTGTGTCCAGCACTCCAACCTACTTACCTAAATCGGCCCCCGGCCCTTAGAGCTTTGGCTGTGCCCTCCGGTCTGGGCGTTGTTCGCGAATCAGCCGCCGATCGGCATGATCCTTATTCGAGGCTTTGATTCATTAATTTTGACCCATTGGCGGATCCAGAAAATTGGCAACATTGTGTTTTCTCCTTTTAAAAGCTATGGAAATGTATCGATTCTTGGAGGGGCCAGGTGCTTCAACAAGAATCGATTATTTAACTTAGGTTTAAATGGATGTTGTTGCCAAATTGTTGGATCCGCTTCTATTTTGACCTCCGTGGGAAAAATGAACCGATATTAAAACTACAGTTAAAATTACCGTAGGGGCTGTCCATAAATTCCGTAAGGCTGTGGGGGTGGGTGGGTGGGTCTACATAATTCTGTGACCTAGTGTGACAAGGGGTGGGGGGAGGGTTTGTTTCTAGTAATGAAAAGCCGCTTAATTTACAGAAGTTGTACTCCAAGAAGATTCTCAGTTTTTTTTTTTTTTGGTAAAAAAGGGGGTTGTTGACGCAAATGTTACGTAATTATTTTGAGGGTCTATGGGCCAGCGTTGCAATCACGTTAAAAGGGATGGGTGGTGTCAAAATTCGGGAAAATTGCTTTACGTTATTTTTGGACAGCCCCAAAGTGATGGTTTTATTCCCGTATCTGCCCGGTAAGTGTGTATTACCTTTCTTTGAGGATTACTACTGTAATTTCCTCTTTATCAAGTGATTAATTTGTCGTGTTATTTTGATCTGTTTCAGAATTTGACCGTGATAGCCCTGTAAAACGCGATTCATCGTCAAATGAGAAAGAAACGCAAGAGCAGCAGAAAAGGAGGCTCATCAAAGTCGATTTCTCCGTGTTAAATGTGAGTATCTAATGCATTAAGTCATTTTTTACATGCCGCACGTCCTTTTTCAGACTTGTGAAAACAAATTTTTAAAAAAATGTACGGGCTCAAACGTTTAAATAGATCGAAACCCTTTGCACAATATCGCATTGTTCCAACATTCTTCGAAGATTTGCAACATTTTAGCGAAGTATACGGAAACTGTGGTAGAAAATCAGTAAAATAGGTTGCAAAATTTTCGAATATTCCACTGCACAATAAATAGTATCATAATCCGGCAAATCTATTCATTGAATGTGAGGCAGTGGATGTTTTGATAGCTTTCGAACCCATTTTGATTCCTGACGGACTTTATTATCATTATTTTTTACGTATCCAGTCTTTCCAGTAATGGAATCCATTAGACAAGCTTCTTGAAACAGAGAGCATAGTTTTGAAATTTTGAAGTTAAAAAATTCGATAGTAAAGACGAAAACACTGCTTGACGAATTAATCTCACTTATCGATACCATTAACCGAACATCGGAGTTTTTCGGACCACTTCAAGAAAGGAACCAAGTCATATCAGCCATTGCCAACTTTCATCGAACAATTAATCTTTCTATAGTAGAACGGTTGTGCAGATTCTTTTGAAATTCCAGGGAATTTGCCTCATGTCACAGAAGAAATCCCTTAAATTTTCAGAAGAATCTACAAAAATAGTCTCCAGTAATGAAAAAAGAGCAATCACCCGATAAAATCTAGGAATGGCTTATGTGACTTGGCTCCATTCTACCTGGTGCGGTCCATTTATCTACCTTAAGAAACCTTACGTACCTTACGTCCTTACGTCAAGAAACCTTGCTCAACCTTAACTCTTGCGACAAATATTCACCTCCTACGTCTCCGATCTTTAGAGAGTCGCACAGTATGAATGCAAATTAACTCGAAAAGTTCAAAGTACATCGAAAGTAGGTATAGATTTACCGAGCCTACGAAAAAATTGACTTCTCGATCAAGCCACAGTATTATAATGCCGCACAGCGAATCGAATCAATAGGAAAGGTCGGACAAAATTTGAAAACCTTTAAACGCTTATAACTCCGTTTATACACAACTTTGAGGTTCTGATAGTGATCCCATTGGTATCCTCGTGAAATTTTTCGCTCGATGCACCCTTTAAAGTTAAAAATGTGACGAAATAAACATCAAAATGTGCAGTTTTAGTCCTAAATGTCATGTCCGACCTCTCAAAATGACTCGATCCACTGTGCGACGTGAGGTGATTGTCAATGAAGACGTTCCCAAAGGTACCCCAGACGCACGTACGTGACGTAAGACTCTCTCCGCTTGCTCCGTAAATTCCCTTAACCATCTTGAGCGCGTTGAGAGTCTGTCGACACCTTTCTCACCGCTCTATTCTACACCAATCACCGTAGCATTGTCTTCGAATCCCTGTTTTCCAAGAGCTCTCAATAAGCAAGCGCTCATCGCTGCACAGCTGGAGTGCCCTCAACACTTCTATATAGCCACGAAAGGCGATCCGAAAGCTGGACGGGGAAAAGTAAAGAGAGAGAACATGGAAATCGGTCCAGTAACACGTTCAAACGAACTGTTAAAGGAAATACAAATTTACATTGTCTAAATGGGAGAATTCGCAACTTTACCTCGTAATATAAAAAAAACCTGGATCATATTTTCAAAATCTGAATATAGCAAGCGCATGAAGAGATAATTGCCTGTCGATGGCAGCAAAAATCATGAAACTCGGCCCCTTAGAACGCACTGGAAAAAACACACATTGGATCTAGAGTCCAGACTCTTAAAAACATCGACAAGAAAAAATACTCTTGATTCAATCGGATTTTTGCTTAAATCAAGAATCAAGCCTCTTAATTTGAGCGGATTTCCTTTTGATTTAAGCTTAGATCTGATTGAATCAAGAGTATTTTATCTTGTCAATGTTTTCAAGAGTCTGGACTCTAGATCCAATGTGTTTTTTTTTCCAGTGCGCTTAAACTAAATGTTGCCAGTTACGCAAATTTAGGTGGTCTCCGAGCTTACAGTAGATGGACCAGCTGGGTTCGTTACAGTTAGTGGTTTTGATGGTTTAAGCTAATAGATTAGATAAAAATATCGCTCACACGCGGCGTATATACGCCATGATACGCGATGATACTTCGATGATACGTGTATGACGCCATCCACAATGGTAGTGCACACCATGGTGTCTTCCACTTTGATTTCATCAATCAGTGATATACACGTGTTCACTCTGCACTGGTTACTCAATGTAAAGCACGGATGAAACCAAGCTGGAAGAAACTATGATTTGCACTACCGCAGTGGATGACGTCACAGGTCAAGTTTTCTGATGAGCGATATCTAAAACGATTTATAAAATGCTACACTGTCGTTTCTTAAGATCTGCCGTTTTCATATAAAATTATATCTTCTCACTATCGTATGTGTCCTAAATGGTTGGAGCTTATTCAAATTTGACAAAACGTCTCCGGAAGTAATTCTCAACTGCGAACTAGAAGTCGGAAATAGTTGAAGAATCCGAAAGAGAATTCCAGACAGCTCCGCCGTTTTTGATGCTAGTATCTCGAGCGGAGCAAATTTCAAATCCAGAATGTTGTGAATGCAAATTAAAGTAGGTGAGAAACAAGTGAGAAGAATCGAGCATCATTAAAAGAATGTTAATCTTATGAATTCATGGAACTAATTAAACAGAGAGAGTTTTTGACTAACACGTTCACTATTCCTCACCTGATTCCGCTTCCTTTGCCTTCCTGGGGATTTTTATCCGGTAATTTTTCATGTACGCAAAACCGCGAGCGGTAAATTTACATTTTACACCGCCGTGGTTCTGTCTTACTCCGATTGCATCATCGTGTTAGTTTTACGGCAACATACTTCCATAACGTATAGGATCTAAAAACCTACGCGTTCAATTCGAAGAAATCTTATCTCGTTTGTTATTGCAACGGACTTTCGCGTCACGTAATAATAAATGAAGTAGGTAAAAATGCCTAATCTGGAGAATGGTACGTAGGTTGGAATTGAGTCAAGTCTGTACTTTTTTCTGAGCTACTAAGCTTAGATGCATTGCGGTTTGGTTAAAATACCTCTGAATTATGCAAGGCCCCGAGTTATCATTTTGATCTCTACATCTTGTTTTTTTAACGATACGGAACGTCTGCTGTTGGAATTGCATACGGAATGCTGCACTCCTCGGGGCCCACCTAAATGCATTTTCGTGCAACCAAAGCTCAACAAAAAAGATGGAAAGATATCGGTTCCAGCAGTAGGTATCATTCGTGATAAAATCGCCGCAGCACGAAAACCAGCGAACGGATTTGTGAAATACCGGCTTCGCCGTAATCGCAGTTTTCAGTTACATCGACAAATCTGAGAGATCAAGAGTTATTGTGTTTTAAAAGTCCGGCTGAAATAATAGCCCTCATGATGTCTCTATCACGCTGATTGAGGATCCTCGCTTTTTTGTGCGCGTTTTCTGGACGAGTCATTGTCACCAGTGTTGCCATATCATAAATTATTGTAAACTTCTTCGTCTGAGTGTTGATTTTAACGGAAGGATCAATGCGATAATGGCAAGTGGGGCGCTGGAAAATAATTTGTAGTGAGCTCCGACACCAGATATCCGCGGAAAAACTTTTTATCACGTGATGTCATGCTGTTTATCGATTCACTTCGGCAACATCGATCGAAATAGATGGTACATCTTGAGCCGCATCTTGCTTTTGTAATCGCTGCAACGCAAGGCAAGGCGATACCTCCAAAAAGTATCCGAACAATGGGCAGTTAATCGAATCCACGGTCATCTTGCCCGGCTCCATTCCTCTAATGCTGGATTTTCTCTCGCACTGGGTTATGGTTTCACTTTCGAAATATCACACGGTGTTTGCCTTACGTCAGTTACTCACGAGCATTTTCAGGACCGTAACAATGCCCCGAGTGCATTATGGTTTCGAATCGATGGAAAGTTCTCCGACAATTCCACCTGCATTATTCCGCACTTAATCGTGCGAATCAAGCAAATGGAAAGGAATGGTGAATTCATTTAGGGGCCCGCTCATAAAATGCGTGTCGCTCTAGAGATAGAAGAGGGGTCTGAGCTTACGTTACGGATGCGTTACAGCGAGAGAAGACCTTTAAGGTTGCGTTACGTAAAGCCAGAATGAGGGTGTAGGTACGATTTTTTTAAAATTCTAACCGCAAGATGAAAAAAATCGACTCGAGGGCGCAATTTTTTTATCCAAAATGCATCACAACAATGATTTTATAGAGAGGATGATGAAACCAAGCGCTATGTAATTTTCCGAGGGAAGACCCATGACCTTTTTAGACTAATCTTTAGAATATCTAAACTGGCCTCAAGTCAAGTTAGCGATTCAGATCAGTAGCAATTTTTCTAAACCTTGCGTTTAAGTCTCTCTGTACCTCTTCGCTTAAGCGTATAAGGAGACATCAAGACGTGTTTTTGGTCCCACATGGAGAATCTTCGATGTTTCCTGTAGCTGACCTCAAGCCAGCGACTCAGATCAATGGCATCAGTAGCAATTTTTCCTAACCTTGCGTTTAAGTCTCTCTGTACCTCTTCGCACAAGCGTATAAGGAGACATCAAGACGTGTTTTTGGTCCCACATGTAGAATATTCGATGTTTCCTGTAGCTGACCTCAAGCCAGCGACTCAGATCAATGGCAATTTTTCTTAACCCTGCGTTTGAGTCTTTCGGTTACTCTTCGCACAAGCGCAGAAGGAGGCATCAATACATGTTTTTGGTGCCAATTTCGGAATTTTTTACGATGAAAGAATACCCTGTGTACCAATTTTTTTCGAGCAAGATTAGAAGTATTCTGCTTTAGAAGAGGAAGGAAATGTGTGTGAGAACAAGCTCTCTTATTATTTCTGACGTATATGTAGGTTGATTTCAATGTACCTAATTTGGCCGAAGTTGATTCATCGCCCTTTTTCGCGTGGGGAGTTTGAATTTACTGTCTACAAGATGCAC